TATTAAACATTCCAGAATTTGAAAAATTTGATTCATCTGTCCATAAAAGGTAACGAAAGTTATTTACATTTTGGCGACAGAAGCTAAGATACCAATGGCAAAAAACAAGTCTTCTCTCTGGATCCCCTGCCAAAAGCGTTTGAACTGGTCGGTACTTATACGGAATAAATTTGTATTTTTTTAAAATCCTTTGAACAGTACCATAACTGAAATTAGAGTCCTTGAGAATATCTGCTATTGAATTCTCACGATAAGCTTCAAAATATCCAATAACTGCAATTTCCGTGGCCTCGCTTATTATGAATTCTTTTTTTGCCCTTGTTTTAGCAAAAACATTTTCGTTGCCCCTAAATTTTCGATAAAGTCTCAGAAAATATCGTTCATACGGTTGAATGCGAGCGGGATATAATTCACTGTAGTATTCTCTTGCTCTCAAGGAGGATTTTCTGCACACTAAATAGCATTCTAACATATCACACTTTTCTTCATGGGAGAACATTTTTCTTTAAATTAATGACACAATAAAGCTTATAAACAAGTATTTACACTAATGTTAGACATTATTTGATTTTATCATTGTTTTCCAAAGCCTTCTAGTTGCGAGTATGTCCAGTTTAACAATTTGTCGCTTATCTTAATGCTGTCAAATCGCGAACGCTATGTTGTTTTCATAGCCGTCTTAATATTATAATACTGCAAATAATTAAAAATATTTATCGTTATTTTGACTTTATTTTTGACTTTAGCGGAAAAGTCATTATGAACTTTTTTGTTTAAAATTTGATGTTTTAACAGAAAAAAATATAATATACAGGGGTTTCCATTTAAAAAAATGTTATTTTACTGAAAAAAATCAAAATATCGACTCTCAATTGTTTTTTCTTATTTCTCATTTTTACCAGCGTTAAAAATGCTACTAGTTTTCTAATTTAAACAACTTTGTATTTTTACTAATAACAAAGTTACCAATGGTGGACACTTAATTTGGATAACCCTGTATTGCTAAATTTGCAACACTAAAGCTAAAAATTTGGTCGGATCCACGATTGACGCCAAATAGGTGCTGCCCTGATGAAATATACAAAACACATAATACTACCATTTGGACTGTTGGATGAATGCAGGGAGATCCTTTTGTTCCAAAATATCCAATTAAAAGTAGCAAATCTGCCGTGGATGAATTTTATCTAGCAGTCATAGAAATATAATCATGAATACTGAAGGCTTAAGTGAGACTTATTTTCGTTTGTTGTTTATTAGTTGCAGTTTTACATCATTGTCTGATGGAATTTTCCAACATTTTGAATCTACATTAAGCCATATAACAACAAAAACAATAACACTGGCACGCGAAATCTCCCCTTCCAATGGTTATGATATTGTTTGACTTCTTTTGTAGGTAGAACTAAAGAGCTATTTATTTTTATTGAAGACCGGTTTTCCAAAGCCTTATATAACTTTATGGAAGCGCTCACCTGATTTTTTACCTTCGGCATGAAGATTCACGGAAATAGCTGAGCGCGTTATTAATGATATTGTAGCGTCTTGCATTATTTTCTTTATGCCAGGACTAACAAAAATGCCTTTTTTGATCTTTGTAATTCTTAAAAGGCTCAATTTGGGAGGGTTTTGGGTAAGAAAAATTAGACAAATTGTTTTTTAACATCTACCAGCAACAATAAATCGATTTTACCCTAAATGGACCAGTCAACTCTGGATTCCTTAATAAGACGTGGCGACATTAATCGCTTTCAAACTTACATTCGCATAATAAAACACCACAACAACTTGCTCAGGTGTCGATAATAAATCTCTTGCCATAAAAACTAGATTTGGGAGTACATTTTCATGCATTTTCTACCACTCATGATTATTTGCATTATAATACAAAATATTCCCCATCAGTTGTACAAATAAATATCACTGAACGTCTTTTGTAAATCAAGTAGTTTGAAAATGCTTGACCTCAACTGAAGTAGAATAATAAAAAAAACCTAGTCGAGTCAGGAATTAGGTCGTTTTTAAGAATATCAAGCTACTTGGTGGATACCTAGTCTATGTGTTGAGGTCTCCTACATCATACTGAATTTTTAAAATTAAAATTAGCCAAAAGACATTCCTCGTAAGATTCCTGCGGAGGTGATTCCGAAAAATAACGTGTAGGTAAATTTCTCTAACGAATACGAGGTTTTCGCTTCCTCTCCGAAGATTAACCGCGTTCTTGACATTGACTACACTACAATTTAAGAAGATTGCGCAATCAACAACGTGTTTTTAGCGAGGTCGACCTTAAGACAACCCCTGGCGCTGCATACAATTCTCATTCATACATTAACCCTGACAAAATCATTTAAAGAATACAGATACCATAGCATTTCTAGCTGACATTCGCCCGTCGTGACTTGAAGAATCTAGTGGTATTACCTGATTGCATAGAAGCGTGAGTACTTCATACTTGCATCGATCTTCAACCAATTCGAAAAATATTATACATGTAAATGAATTGAGTGCAATATTACTGCTTATAGTTTGATTCATAAGATTAGTTAAGGAGCTCCTGAATTAGAAGACATTATAGTGTACATGTTTAGTGGTGCAGTGATTTAGTGAAATGATTGTGATCTGATTTTACAAGAAATAAGGAGATATATAATTGTATAAGGAAATCGTATAATTACGGCGACTGTACATTTTTTGGTGGTGTTGTTAGAGTTGCTTGCTAATACGTTCAAATTGGCGTCAAGATTTGCCGCCATTTTGATAAACACATTTGATTGAAAATCTGGAAAACCATCGATCCTATGGAAAAAAAGTAATAGAAACAATTTTATTGGGAATTGAATTCCAATAAATTATTTTGCTTCTATAAAAAACAGCTGTAGACTCAACAGATTACGAGAAAATTCACATTTAGATTGTTAGTTCAGCCATTATAAACGAAAATATCATTACATGTACATTTACTCTTAGTTTTCTCGTAGTCTGTGGACTATAAGTCTAATTTATATAGAAGCAAAATGATACAGAATTCAATTCCCTAGAATATTATTATCATGACTTTTTTACATTGGATCAATGTTTTCCGAGATGTTCAATCAAACACTTTCATCAAAATGGCGGCAAATGATCCACCTTTATCATGATGCCGATTTGATCTTATCATTAGGAAACAATAATCTAACGATACCACCAAAACAAAAACGTTAATATCGTTATGGTCCAACCGAAGCTTCGCCTCGAGCCAAAAAATACACCTCAGCCAACATCGGCTTTCGGTTTCGAAAAATCTGTTTTCACGAGAAATTGTGCAAAAATATTGAAATACTTTTCAAGATGTGCTAGTAAACATCAACAGTTACGAATATAGGATCTTATTCCATTTTTCTCAGTTCAAGGTACTCTGAAATATCTTTTAGCTACCAGTTTGTACGTGGACATATTTTGTTAGATGTCTAATCTTAAAGACTCCACAGACACTCATCAAATCATCGTACGAAATCATGCCAAGTGCTCAAATAAATGGCTTTCAATGAGGTCGGAAATATCGCATATCAACTTGTGAATAAGTTAAGTTCGAAACCTGAACATTGGTTCAATTAGTTACGGATGAGTGAAGAAACGTATAACGAACTGCTGAGCATTGTCAGTTCACACGTAGAGAAACGGGATGCAAGACTGAGAAAAACAATCTCATTGCATGAGCGCCTAACCGTTACATTGTGATTTTTAGCAACAGGCAGAAGTTTTGAAGACTTGAAGTATACTTCTGATATATCAGCTCAAGGATTGGGACATTTTATACCAGAGACTTTCAAAGCTCTGTACGACAGATTGTAACCACTTCTCTGACCGTTTGGCTCGATTTCGTTGTTTTCAATTATTAATGCTCCCGCTGTAGCTGCTAATAAATTATCGTCCATCTTCGTTTTCTAAAACTGCAAGGTAAAACGGGGTCTTGCTTGATGACAAAACGTTGGATACCACAAATATTACGAATACTTCCTTGACAAGCAAGTCTTACGATTTACATGACAAGCAAATCCTACGATCTGTTTGGTATATTCCCCGATAAACTTGCGAGAATAAAATAGCCAGTTTAATATGTTGGTATGCTTTTTTTTTGGCATTGAAAACCTATCACTTTATTCAATTTCCTTAAATTTTCAAAAAATAAAATAATTCAAATGGACAGTCTGCTTTAAACGTTGACTTTGCTGTACGGTTTATTTTACCAGAACCGTAAAAGTGCCAGAATGACGGTTTCAGAAATCATCGGTTTATTTAAAAAAATACGTTGAATTATAAAAGTTTTTAGGTGTCGCTTTCTGATATCTGATAATGTTAAAGATCATTTAATTTAATGACTTCATATCTCCTCCCATTTCTGAGATCACAATGCATTTTATTAGAAGTTTTACCTTATTTTTATTCCTACTCATCAAGTTATATTTTTTCTATTTCTACCACAAGACATTGAAACTAATGTTACAACTTTACTTACAACAAGAACAAAACCAACCAAAAATTCGTTATTCTATCTCACTATTTTTATAACGCGACCCAAATTTTTGATAAACTAAACATTCGGCTTCGGCTGAAGGTTGTGTTAAAAGTCGAACATTGGCGTTGTCTTCTTTCAAAAAAGTACAGAGATTCACTAAAAAACTTTTACTTGCATAAACGGATGAGATCACGGAAATGGTCTAATTTCAGCTAACGGACTTTTTTTGTTTTTTTTCAGTCTGTTTCTGTGAAATTTATTCACTTACTAGTCCAATGGTTGTGACTAAATTGACTAAATGTGACTAAATCTGCAACACAAAACACATAGCTCCACAGAATGACGGATATTTTATAAGCCAGTAATTCTTTTGAATTTCAAAATGTTTCAAACACTGTCACTTTCTTCAATCGATCGAAGCTTGATATTAAAATAATCTTAATAGTAGTATTATTTTAACGTACAGCAATGTATGTTATAAAAGTTATGTTATGAATAGGAATACTGAAACGTAGACGATCAACAAAATCCATGAGAGAATTCCTTTATCAAGCTAATTAACATAGGATTGGATGATCCTTCCAGATCTTCTGAGTACCACTAGGATCCAAATTGAAAAACACATGCACTGTAATAGTGGCAATTCTCCATGTGGAAGAAGACAGTCATCCTATTTTTCGTTTACGGTAAGTTTAACATTTTCATCCTTAGATGACGATCTAGAAGAACTTCAACAGTTAAATTTCAGTTTGAAAATCCGAAAGTTTCAGCAGGAATTTGTTTATGAAGAAGCTAAAAGCTCGACGGTTGAGTTTTATTATTTAGACAGGTTGCATAGACATTGTCGCAAAAACCATGAAAAAGGTAAACAGTAAAGTTGACAGCGGTTTTTCAAAAATGAAACTTTGTCTTGAATGTCTTGAATACCAAACTTTTCAAAATCATTCTGAAAGCGGATTTGAGTTACTAATATAATACATATCGTATCGTATCGTACTGATAAAAATATTTCCACCAAGGGTATCAACAAGCTTGTTAATAATATAACTTGGTTGGTTTCTGATAAAATAAAATTTTTACTTTTAGATGTATTTAGAGGCGTACTTCCGCACCGATGGGCCATTGGTGATTGTCCACTATACTATGACGAACCTTGTGACACAACAAAAGTTAATTTTCACCTATCGAGATCAGCTCGATTTGGTAAATGTACGACCAAGATCGACCCATTCAAGCCAAATTTACCCCAAGGCTATAACCACTTGGTTCCTTTGAAAATCGTTATACATGGCTATGGGGGCTTGGGGATAGACACAGCCACTACTAACGTATCAAAGGCCTACGAAGATGAAGGTTATAATGTCATCATTGGTAAGAGTTTATACTTATTAACAATTTTGATTTCAAGCCGGATTATAGGAATATCCCTGAAGGTGAATACAGGGCTCCGAGTGTTTACTAACTGGTGTAGTCTAAACAATCTAATGATTAATCACGATAAAACTGTAGCTATGAATATAAGATCTGTAAGGAAATAGTCCTGTAATGTTAACTTGTCGCTTTACATCGAGCTCTCTCTGTTTACAAATTTTGTTTTCTTAGTGGTAGATTGCCACCTAAACTGGAAGCCCATATCCACAGGGTTTGCAAAAACTTAAATACAGGTCATCGTCATAAATAGTTTAAAAAATTGTGTAAGTCGTGAAACCTTAATTAGTGTCTTCTATGCGTTTATACGAGTATACTCGGCCCTGTCATCTGTCATATAATGTTGTCTGGGGATAGCCACTATCGACAGAGCCTTCATCACGCAAAAATGATTCATTAGAAACAACCTTTAGGGACTATTTCAAGAAATATCAACCTTTGACCGTCCCCTCAATTTATTTGCTGAAACTGCTATCATATATTCATAAAAACAAATGTACTCGCATTTTCATGATTCTAATACGAGGAATAAGAATCAATTCTGTTTAGATGAGCATAATCCCTTGTTTACTTGAGCTTAGTGCTAATCATTAGCACTCGCTACTCGCACTAATACCATCACGTGTAAACAGACCGCATTAGTACTAAGCATTAGCAAAATTGCAAGTGTCAGTGAATAGAAACTGATTCTATTTACTAATCTCTTGTTACAGCGTTAGTGGCTTAGTGACTAGTACGAGTATCTAGTATTAATGTTTAGCCGCTGAGCTCGTGTAAACAAGTCACAACTCAACTACTCACGAAAAGTCGCCTAGATATGCTGGTACACGAATATACAATTAGTTGTCAGAATCTGTTGAAAATATAACATTATGCTCTTCAAAAGGTACCTTAAGAGGATGCTCTACAGCATAGCAGGACTGTCACAAAGTAAACAGGACTTTTGAAAGATATCCGATACAAGTAGCGCCCTCTATTATCGGAGACTAGCGTTGCAGAGGAACATACCATATTCAGTTGTTGCTGTTTCAAAATTTCATGAGAACCGAACCACTTCACGCGGGGTTATCGCTCTCAAGGTGACAGTACCTTTTTAGCATCGGTCGACAAATTAGCATCGAACAAAGAGCCAATATTACGTTCTGTGTTAAACTTGGTAAAACATTTACAGAAACAAACGCATCAGATGTTGATGCAAGTGTATGGTGATGATTGTTCATCACATAGCCGAGCCGACGAGTGGTTTTCGCGGTTCAAAGAGGGTCGTGAGTCGCTGGAAGATGACGAACATGCGTCAGAAGCCGTCGAAAAAGTGCGTGCATTTATCAAAAATGATCCAAAATCTTCATTGAGATATATAGAAATCAAATGAAATAGCTCTAGAGATTCAATCCATCACATGAGAAAGATGTGTTCACGATTTGTTCTGCACAAGCTCACGGATGACCAAAAAATTGCTTCGAATTCAACAAACATTCCAGAGTCTTCATTAAAGAGGCCAAAAAAGACAAAAACTTCCTATACAACATTGTGACTGGTCACGAAATAGGCTGTTTTCAATACGATCGCGAAACCAAGCGTCATAGTGCCGAATGAAAGTACCCAAGCTAGCCAAATCCGAAAAAAAGCCGTTTGGAAAAATCCAAAGTGAAGACAATGACGATTTGTTTCTACGATTCGAATGGAATTATTCACAAAGATTAAAAAAGCCGTTCCACTTGGACAAACGGTTAATGCTGTGTTTTATCTTGGTGTTATGAGGCGTTTCCTGTCGCGTATTCGTCATGTTCGGCCAGAATATCACGAAGAAGGAAGTTGGCGCTTGTTGCACGATAATAAATCATCTCATCGATCGCCGCCCGTGTCCGATTTTTTGAGAAAAAATGGCATTTTAACCATCAATCACACCCCTATTCTCCTGGTATGGCACCGTGTGACTATCTGTTCGGTAAACTACATTTGGCCAGGAAAGGACACCGGCATGCCGACGTAGAGACCATCCAGGAGGCATCGGCAACAATTTTGAAGGACATCCCGGTCAACGAGCTAAAATCATCATTCGAAAATATTCGAGAAATTCGATTTTCCGAAACAACAAATGTTTATTCATTTTTTCTTTGTCCTGTTTACTTTGCGAGAGACCTTGCAGATGAGTTCCTTGTGTTTTCAATTTGTTTGTTGTTCTTTTAGTTTGTTTTTTATTTCGACTTAACTTTTTATAAATATTGTATGTTATACATTTGACGTGTTCATTTCTATACTTACGTATAGTGTTCGGACCTAATAAAGGAATTTGAATCCCTTATGATATAATTTATGTATTTAAGGCGCTTAGTGGGCGTCCAGTGTGCGAGATGCCGCTGGCTCTAAGCACCAAGGGATAATATTACGCTTATTCCTTCCAAGGTACCGTAAAGAGGCTGCTTTACGTCCTGGCGACAGGACATTCGCCATAGCGTATATTCGCGTGGTGCGAACGGCGAAGCGTCCAGCGACTGAAATAAACGCATAGAAATGTACTTATCGAGCCACGCGCAGCGGCGAATGGCGAAACGACCGGCGAAGTGTACCGAGCGAATCGTGTGGGTGTCATTTCGGCGCGGCCAGTGAGTGAAACAGAGGCATGAATCAGTATGGCGAAAGCCACGGAGTCGAACGGCAGTCGCGGCGAATAGTGCAGTGATCAAACGAATTTAGTTTGTTTTGCCGCGAAAAATGAACACGAGGCTTTTATTACTGAAATACTTGCTAGGCCAGCTATTTGAAACCACAGCACACAAATAAATAACATAATTATTGTAAAGTATTTAATTTAATGAAATATTAATATACAGGGTAACATTTAATTGGCTAACTATATTTTGGGCAATCATAGTTGCGAAAAAAATTAGTTATGAAAAAATTCCGTTTGCGACCATGTTTTTTGGGGAAGGTTGTTCATATTCCCCAAAATATGCTCAGCTAATTCAGTGTCATCGTTTATATAGATAGGTACATACCTCAATGTCAAAAACAATTTTTCAGCGGCACTTAAAATTCTATCTGCATTGACTTTTTCCCCAATTCTGGTTGAATATTAACACTCATTCTGGTATACTCGAAATTTTTTTTCTGGGTACAATTGGTATTTAGCATACTTTTATTGTGGAATTCTCCATCTCTACCCCGATTCCTATTTAAAATCATTTACTCCACAATCTCTCCAAATATTATGTCTTGCGCCAAAAAACTATTACTTTCTAAGCAACATCGAGATAACGTTGATAAAGACATTTCGCTCGGGCTTTACTGGTCACGGCGGCGAACTTGATTGCCCGTGTCCGGCAAACTGTGCCGCGCGAATTGTCGCCCCGTCCGCCGCATCGTCGTTCGCACCCCCTGGCCCCGTGGTCAAGCCGTATGAAGCCACGCGCAGCGGCGAATGGCGAAGTGTACCGAGCGAATCGCGCACGGAGTCGAACGGCAGTCGCGGCGAATAGTACAGTGATCAGATGAGTTTAGTTTTTTTCACTGCGAAAAATGAACACGAGGCTTTTATCACTAAAATACTTGCATCGTTCGCGCCGCCGATCACCGAGGCCAAGCCGTTACTCCAGTATACGAAAATCTACATGCAATTTTGATTTGTTACTTTTTTTCAATGTATGACAAAGTGTCCCACCATGGCTTGATTCTAAATGAGCTTCAACCGTTGAAATTAATTTCGACGGCGACCTGTGACGATATATTTTGTTCGTTATGATAATTTTGACATCTGATTATATCGATCTTCTATATTCAAATTATCTTTTTTTTATACTCCAACTACCACGAACGCCTAAGGCCTAAACACCCATTGGGTACCGTGGGGCTATAGGGGGATACAGGAGAAAGGGGGAACGCCACACGGACTCTGGCGAGGGAACACGTGTGCAAGCAACATGCACACATACCTCCACGTTCGACAGTCAGAGACCGTCTACCACCTACGATCGTGGTAGTGAAATCAATTTCAACGGTCGAAACTCATTTGGAATCTGACCCCATGTCGCATGTTAGAGTTAGGAAGTACTTGTATGTCGGTCTATCAAAACATCTTGTCACATGAGTGGGTGATTCACTGGGATGAATTACCTTCCTTCACTCTCCAACCCTTAGATACGTGACACTTGAGGAAAGAAAACAGATCCAACTGAAAAATTTGGCGCATCGCCACATGAAGGCGCAAACATAAATTATTACCTCAACCTCATCCATTATATAAAAACCCGTTTAATATCTCATGGCTTGAGGCTTATGCCGGCTTCTCACTGCGCGTGTTGACCCGCGCCACGCCGCGCCGGCACGCGCCTCGCGCAGTGTGAAGAGCTTGGCGCGGGCAGGCGCGGCGTGGCGCGACCTATCCGCTAAAAGTCGGTAACTTCAAAGGCGCGGCGCGGCGTGTACCTACCCAGACAGACGAACACGATTGAACTCGTTCATTTCATTTTGACTCGTCCTACGTTGAGGTACTGTGGTGAATATGGAGTGGCCGAATGAAACGATCGCCGAATTTTTAACTTTGTATGAAGGCGAACCCTCTCTGTGGAATTCGAAAAATGCGGAGCATAAAAACAAAAACGACCAGCATGATGCCTGGCTGCGAATTGAACAGAATTTAAAAGGTGGTACCATACCGTTACAAGAAATTAAAAAGAAAAGGGATTCTTTAATGGGAACCTATAGAAAATTAAGAAGTAAAGTTTGCCAATCAATAAAGTCTGGCAGCGGTGCTGATGAAATCTATAAGCCTGACTGGCCATTTTATAATGTGATGGCCCAATTTTTGAATGATGTGTATACTCCAAAGAAAACGAAGGATTCTGAGGTAAGTACTTTATTTACTTAAAAAATTAATAATTATTTTGCCAGGCAACCGCACCGTTTGTTATAAAATATTCTGCAAGCTGGTCTCTTATATTCTTGGCGGAAAGAGGTGCTCTTCTTGGCCGATTTTGGAGTGGTAGTAGGGAAGCAACTCCATTTTGGTCATCACGCCAAGAACCGGGCTGAATCTCGCCATCATCATTTTCGGTATCAAAGGATCCAGGAGGGGTATATATAAGTCTAGACCTTTTAGACCGTCTCAAAAAATTGTGTAACAATGCACATGTCATCACAATATCAGTTACAATATCTGGTTGTAAAAGCATGGGTTTTCTTAGTACTCTAAACACCGCAGACATAATGCCAAAGACATTTTCAACAATCCGTCGAGCTCGTGAAAGGCGGTAATTAAACACGCGTTCTTTAGATCCCTTATTATGAGTTCCAGCGTAAGGTTTCATCATATTTTCCGTTAGAGCAAATGCACTGTCTGCAACAAATACGTAAGGTAGAGGTGTTACTTTCAGCGGTAAGCAGTCTGGCGGTGGAAAACCCAATTCCTTTCTACAGATTTGTTTATATAAGTTGGTGTTTCTGTATACACCACCATCGCTTATTCGGCCCTGGCACCCACAATCCACAAAAATAAAATTGTAATCCGCGTCGACTAAAGCCATTAATACAACACTGAATGTTTTGTGATAGTTGATAAACTCAGATCCACTATGAATAGGACTTTGTATTAGCACATGTTTTCCGTCGATAGCTCCTAAGCAGTGAGGAAAATTCCAAGTTCTGCGGAATCCTTTCTCTATCCTTAACCAGTCAGATGATGTCCGTGGCAGCTAAAACAAATAGAAATATTGTAAATTATCATGAATATTTCTTATTTTTAGGTCACTGACGACATAGAAGAAATAGAAGATAACCGTGATTTAGATGCCTCTGAAGATAGTAAACAGGATGATGAAGAATCAGTTCAATTTAAAAGACCAAAACCTCTTCCTAAAAGACGTGCTAAAAATATTGATATAGAAAATAAAATGAACGAAGCATACGACTATATAAAACAAATGACTCAAAAACCCCAAATCCCGCAAGATGAATGTTCATTATACACACAATTATTGTGCAAAAAATTGAGAGGCTTACCAGAAAATACACGTGAAATAGCGATGTTGGAAATTGATAGATTGATTTTCAATCTGAAGCAAAAAGAACTATCGTCAAACCCACATGCACAAATACTAATCAACCCACCACAGCCCACGAATTTTGGACATTCCGGCAATCTCTACTATCAGCCATCCACATCCTACCATCCATATCCTTCTCCACAGCAATCCCCAACCTATCATCCATCGCCTTCTTCACAGTCATCCCCAAACTATCATCCATCGCCTTCTCCACAGCAATCCCCAACCTATCATCCATCGCCTTCTTCACAGTCATCCCCAAACTATCATCCATCGCCTTCTCCACAGCCATCCCCAACCTATCATCCATCGCCTTCTTCACAGCCATCCCCAACCTATCATTCATTATCTTCTCCACAGCCATCCCCAAACTATCCATCTCCACAGCTGTCGCAAGTCGAAACATCAGCTTCGCAAAGTCTATTAAAAGATTTCTATGAAGAGGAGGGTAGTAATTTAGTTTAAATGGATGATGTCAATTTCTATTTGTTTACGATTTGAAAAAAATAAATGCTTAATTCTACTACTTACTTTTATTTCTTGTGATAGTTCTTTTATCAATGCTTTACAAACGTCCGTGACACAACTTGAAACTGTTTGGATAGATACTTTGAAAAGATATGAAAGGCTTGTGTAACTATCTCCGGTTGCTAAAAATCTGAGAGCAATTGCAAACCGTTCTTGTACTGGAATACATTTTCTCATATGGGTATCTTGTTTTGCAATGATAGGGCCTATTTTATTCATTAGATAGTTGTAATCTTCTGGTGCCATTCTACAGAAGTTCTCAAATTTTCTGCTCGGTTCTTTAACAAAATCCGATAGCATATCTGATCCATTGTATCTGAAACAAAAATACAATAATTTTTACTAAATTTTCCGGCAGCAAAGTTTCATTTTAAAACGCGCCAAACTTACCAATAGATACCATCAAATATATTGATAGGATTCTTAAAAATTACGTACCTATGTAATTATCTCAAAATACAAACAATGATTACCTTGACCGGCTCTTATTGAACGTTGACATCCACCAGCGTCTCCTCTTCTTGTTTTTGTTAATTTTATTAAGTAAACGATATCCACAAAATAAGACAAAAACGGCTGATGCAACAGCCATGCCTTCTTCTTCAGTGGCATTGCTCCATGGCTGGAGGTGGAAATTCGACTCACAACACATAGTGCGCTGCGCTAAACAGACTGAATCAAACTGAGGTGTAAAGCCAGAAGGCACGCGCCGCGCCGCGCCGCACAAACGGGTGGCGCGGCGTGTCGCGTGGCGTGTTCTTGCGCGTGGAGCGGCGCGACGCGTAGTAGCACGCGTAGTGAGAAGCCACCATTATATGTTACAAGCATAACCGTGAGATAAATGCTTTTATGATCCCAAGCTAATTTTATTCCTATAGCTACTTACACAGTACAGAATAATGAATATGGTGCCATTATATGCAGGGTGAGCTTATAATGTGGAATTGGTCGATAACTCTATAAAATTTTTAGCTCTCCTCAAGTCCAGAAGTAGCAATCCAAACTAGTAACTGGTAACACAAACATACATTTCTTTAATGGAATGTCCTGTATATATTAGGATATCTTAGAATCACTCTACCGAAGGATAATTTTGATATAGCTACATACTGTAAGGTTTTTACTGCTACTTCTTGAGCTACGTGGCGATTTGTCAAAAAAATCTCAACTTTGGCTTGTATAGGATAGTTTTTAGCCATTTCAACGCTTTTCATATTTTATTTACCTATTACTTACTTGTGAAGTTCTGATAGAACACCCTGCAGATGTTTACGGTTTTGGGTTATCTTTTTATGAGCTTTATTTTGGCATACATTTTTTGCGGGGTTGGATTACAAAATTTTTAAATTATTTGCAGCTTTCTAAAAATTATAATTGAAAATAAACACCACCTGATTTGCAAGAATAATCTATCTATTTGTGTTGAATTGTGATTTGTGAGAAACTGCTAATAGCTCACTTATTTAAGGAATACAAGCTCAGTCATGGTTTCATAGGTTGCTACGACTTATTATTTAAAATTGATTGCAATGTTCCTCCAGTTATGTTGAGCACATCTGCTTTTTTCAGATTGAAAAGATGGAATACCAACTTAGGGCATCAATTCGTCATTACGTGTAACTGTACAAAATGTCAATGGTGCATCTAATAACTGTGATATACATGCTAATTATTTTGAGCGTATTCTTATTTCACATGTTTATGTTTTCTTTTCATCTTAATATTTACTTATTGGAACCTGTTGAAAACTAGCATTTTTTACTTCGGTTTGTTGGGTAATGCATTTGTCATATTTTTCTTTATTGTTTAAGATCTCCTGTAATGGGAGCTGTGTTCTGTTGGGCAATAAATGCTTTGTTTGTTAGCTTCTTTGAAAATGTCCTTAAAATATACTAAAATATACAGGCTGTTCCATTTTAAAAATGTATTTTTGTGTTTCTAACTTTTTTTAGATATCTTAAAAAATAACGAAGTTACCGACCAATTGCACACTAAAAACTCACTCTGTATAAGAATATATATTTCAGTGGATTGGGCCCCTTTAGGCATGTTACCATGCTACCCTACAGCAGTAATAAACACCTGGCATGTTGGTCAATGTGTAGCCGTCCTTGCTGTAAGCTTGGTTCCTCTGGGAATCTCACCTACTTTGGTGCACGTCATAGGATTCAGTCTGGGTGCACATATTGCGGGATTTGCAGGATCCCACTTAAACAATGTACTGGGATATTCTTTTGGTAGAATTACAGGTGAGGGTGTATATTATTATATGTGTATATATAACTTACAAGTATAACGCATATACATATAAGATAACTAGATGAAGTTTATTTCTTAAGTATCTGCTACATTGCAATATGTATATACCGATTTTACTTAAGCGTTCGATAGGGAGGACCATGGCATACTTTTAAATGAGCTTTCTCAGTATGGATTCCATTCATCAGTTTTAGCACTCATTCAAAGTTATCTTCTTGTTGTCAATATGTTACTTTCAATGGCTTCAAGTCGTACTAGTATATAACTAAATCGGGAGTGTCTCAGGATTCAAACCTTGGTCCTTTATTGTTTACTTTATTTATTGATGATATTGTGCAATACTTAAGTTGTAATAGAGTCCTCTTTGCGGATGATTTAAAATTATTGGATTATTGAGTCAGAGGCTGATTGTATTGCACTTAAGCGGGATGTTGATGCTTCAGTAGCTTGGTGTGACGAGAATAATTTATTTATTATTGCGTGTAGTATAGTCAGCTTTTCCAGCTAAACGTGTGTTTGCACATTTAATTATAAGATTAGGGATGTTTACATATATCGTTATAACTCAATCAAGATTTGGGTGTAGTTTTTGACCATAAACTTAATTTTTCACTCTAGATAGCTTAAAAGGTGAATGAAGCTTCACGGACGTACGATTTTATTGTGAGAAACTACAGAAGCCTCAGCCCCCAGAGTCACTGTTGGTTTTGTATTCTGTATATATTTGATCGAAATTAGAATATACATAGTTAATTTGGAACCAACTTCACAACTGCTACATTGATCCTCTTGAGCACAGTTAGAGAAAGTTTCGTAAATTTTTATCTTTCAAACTTTACGGTGCATATCCTGAGCAGGGTTTATTATTGTGTAGGTTTCAAATGCAGTATTTAGAGCTGTGAAGTAAATGTGAGTCAATTATTTTCTTGCACAATAAAATTGATGCTAATGAGATTATGGCCAAACTAAACGTTAATGACCCATCTATTCAAATTCGTACCGTTAAAACCTCTTATTGTAACAGGGCTTGCATAAATTTATCCTTGAAGGCACCCAGATATGTAATGTGTGAAACTTTCAATCCCATATCCAATTATTGTAATATACATGCTGACAGTCTGAACAGCATTCTGGGAGTAGCTAGGAATTAATTACTTAAACAATTAATGATATGTTTCTCACTTATGTGAAATATGTTTGTTGCTCCTGTTACTTGTTTGTTTTCCCCTGAAGATGGAATCACCTGCTTTTTGAACCTGTTCTATTTTTGTAAGTTTGGTTTAACTTTTCTTAAGCCGCGTACAGACCGAGATTCCAACGCAAGCCAAGGCACATGTGGTTGCAGATTTAGAGATGTGCGAATCGGTGTGTACGGCGCGAGCCAACATAAGCTAACGGTTTCCAAGGTGGGCGTTGGCATTCAATGACGTTCGCTCCTTGATCGGTACATCGATGTGAGGTTTGATTTGGCCTGGATTTGTTGCACTTCTAGTATTAAGTCGTTTGTCTGCACTCAATGAGAGGAGAATCGTCGCTCAACATTAGCGCCGAACTTAACCCGACGCGGTCCAACTCGAAACTAAACTTGGTGTAGACAACGTGTAGACGACCTTCCAAAAACAAACGCCAACGTCACATGTGCTTGCATTGGTTTGCTCGGCGTTGGATTTTCGGTCTGTACGCGGCTTTAGGATTGTTCTATAATTGGTTTCCTTAACAGTTAGGCAATTAACGCTATTTATTTACTACAGAGTTAATCTGCTTCACGCTACTTTTGATTAATATAAAATACAAACAAAAACGTTGTAAACATGGAAAATGGACAAATATGACGTATAGCCAAGAACTTCCAATTCAATTTAATAATAATAATATAATAATAATGATAAATGACTTTATTGAATACAACAAATAATCTTTTTACAAAAGTAATTTAGAAAAAAGTACAGTATACGTTGCCTAATATTGGCGCAAGTCTAGCTTTAAGCTACTCTACTGAGCCAAAATAAGACAAAAAATAATAGTCTTCAAACAACAATACAGAATAATCATAATAATAATCCCGTGTTAACACTAAATGGACTGAAAGTAAATTAAAATTTCAACAAGATATTTATTAATATGTTACTGGTCACTATAAGATTTGCTTGACATATTTTTTCTACTTATATACCTATATTATAAACTTCAATCTCTATTCTAAAAAAAGTTTATTCTGATTTGTATTTAGCAAATATTTCTGATATTGTATTTTTAAACTTGAAAGAGAAAGATTAAGAAACTGGTTGGGAATTGAATTGTTTAACAGCATTGTATGAGAATGAACGTTGAAACAATGCACTACTATGAAGCGGCATAGTTATTTTTTTTAAATATCTTACATTTATATCATGAACAGAATGTCGAAAAATTAAGTGTTCTCTTATAGAATCAGGTGAACCTGGGGTGTTTATAATTTTTAATAAAAAAAACTAGAAAAATGGAGAGTGCGACGCTCATTCATTTTTAACCATTTAATTTCTTTATACAAATGACATATATGATCAAACCTACGCAGACCATAGATAAACCTGAGGCACGCATTTTGCACCTTCTGAATACGACCTCTACTTGCCTGATCTAAGCAAAACCCATAGACAAAATCGCAATAATTGAAATTGGAAAACACAATATTTTTTTACTGATCTGTTTAGTATGTGTCTGTTATTATACAAAACTTTTAGATAACAAAATGATTTTTGCATAAGATTTTTTAAGAGATCTTTAAATCTAAGCTGAGAATCTAAAACTATACCGAGATTTTTTGTACTTTGAACCAAAATTACATGCGATTTTTCCGGATTAAGTTTTAAGTTGTGACTCCCTGCAGAAGTCGCCAATTTCTTATATTATTAATGATAGGTCTAGATCCAGCACTCCCCTTGTTTGCGAAATCAAGCAACGATTGGAAGTTGGATTCAAGCGATGCTGCCTTTGTTGATATCATCCATACGAGTTCTGGAACATTCGGGAAAATAGAAGCTACGGGCCACTTGGACTTTTACGTCAACGGAGGATCACTTCAACCATTTTGTACCAAACGGCCAAGTGAGTATCATAATATGTTTATAAAAGCACCATCTTGATTATGATGATGGCTGGAGCTGGGCTAGTGTAACGGAGCATGCCATTGAGGCGTAAAGACGCAAAGAGAATAGAAGCGAAAGTCCATTGGAATGGTTCTATGTATGTACAACTTTAGCATGACAGTAAACGTGAATCGATCAATAATTGAACGACAGCCCAGCATTGCCCACTGACACTGATATGAAAAATGCTGGTTCGTGTTGAAGTAAGACAAAAATTGAGTTTTGTGGCGTTCATCGACACCGTTTAACGATCCTTGTAATATTATCCCCACACATGACAAAAGCAGCTTGAGTTGTTGAGAATAGGGGGCTTTGAAAGAAAGCAGTGAAGTATTGAGCTTGATATTTGTTATAGATCGTCTCATAATAGTAAAGCGGCGCCAAACACAGTTTTTTGTCGTTTCTTTTTTTGGCTACGTACATAAATTATAAGGCGTTTTCTCTCGTTTAACTTGTCATATAGAGCTATTTTTACCTTAAGAGTTATAACGAAGATATTATAAATAACTGCGTTTCCATTTTCCATTATTATGATTCAAACGGGAAAGATACAAAGTAACAAAGTGAAAATGCAGAAAACGCTCACCGAAATCTATGACGATACCGATATTTCAAAACTTCCCCAAAACTTTCCAGGTAAAACAAAAACTACCAAATGAATGAACTATAATAGACATTAAATCTTCGGATTTTAGACACGTTCTTTTTAATGATAAACTCATTTTCATTAATGATCCTTATATGCAACTCGAAACTGGAATTAAAGGTCATTTTTATAATTATTTCAATCGTGTCGTTCCCTATTCAATAAGATTCTTCGACTAGCACTTCATTTAATGTCTTTGGCATACCTTGACCTGTGCGGAATTATAAACAGATACACAATGAGCCTACTTATACTTGAATCATAAATAATAGCTATGCCACCAGCCGAATCGATATCTATTAGATGTGAAATTACTAAAATTAGTTGAAATCTATATTAGAAATAAACTTTATTTTGCTAAAAGTACTATACAATATACTGAGTGAAAAAAGGTGAACACCTACGTATGTTTATCCGATTTTAATAATTTTTGGAATATATCATAAGTGTCCCTTACTAGTAAAATGATTAAATTTTCAGCTTCATTCGTCTACTGACTACAGAAGCTGGTTCAATAATGTGTTGAGGATCCACGATTTCTTATACATCCTTCGACACGCCTAGGCATCGTGCTGATAAGGTGGTCGATATCCTGTTGGGGTATCTCATTCCAGGCTACTACAACTTCGTGAGTACGAGCTGCTAAAGTCTGTGGGGGGAGGGGTGTTGCAAATTCAAGAGCCTGCGGCCTATCATGTCCCAGATATATTCAATTGGAGATAGGTCAGGCGATCGGGGTGGCCAAGGTAAACGGTTGATGCGATGTTGATCCATGAAGGCTAACAATGCTCTGGCAATATGCGGTCTGGCTGAAAAATCGGGTTTTGGATGGTGTTTAGGTATGGAATAAGACGAGGCTCCACTACTTCCTGAATATAGCGTCGGGGTGTCATATTGCCTCTGATGAAAATTAGTGGTATATATATACCATAAGCAATAGCATCCCATACCATAACTCCCACGGTTTGGTGAACGTGACGCTCTCTGTCAAATTGTGGGTCACGTCTTTCACCGCCTTCTCACTCTTGCCCAACCATCGCGCATCTCCAAACAGAACCGGCGGTCTTGTCGCTCTGTGGTCCCTCTGGGACGTCCAGTAGGAGACTGCGTAAGGACCCGTTGGTCCTCTTAGAAACGTCTCTTATCGATAGACCGGCTTTTCGCAACCCGACAATTCGCCCCTCTCAAAGTCACTTAGCTGGGACACCCGGCGAATTCTACGCACTCTAGGCATTTTGAGCAATTACAAAATGGCTTCTCAATAAGCTACACAAAATTTAAAATTTACCTGACACCGTAAATGTACGAAAACTCAATGCTTCTTTATCACCAAACAATACACGCCGCCACCACAAAAAATTAACAGAAAAACCTGACCATTTTATCACTTGTTGATAAATCGATATGTAAAAAATTCTTGAGTTCTAATAAACATACATAGGTGTTAACCTTTTTTGTCACTCAGTGTATGTTATGTGCGTTTCAAATTCGAACGACACCTTTGCTATCTCGAAAACGGTAAAGCCAATGTACGAGTAACACGATCTGTATTTACTGTAGTCCGTACCATCAGTAGATTTCTACGTAACATTATGCATCAATAATTACTGTCGTGCAGGCTACACAGTCGATAAATATCACATCTCATGATGAATATTTTGAAGGATCACAGAAAATATGGATCCTTTGACATTCGCCTAAATGACACAGGGACAAAGTTGCACAGGTAAATAAAAAATGGAACTTGGACAGTTTGGATATCCAAAGTATTTCCGAATACTACTCTAATTCGTTTTTGATTTTTTCCTGGCTTTAGGCGGAAATAAATCTTTCCAAACATCCACATTGTCTACAAGTTTCAAAAAAATTGCACAAGAACATTACCACTTTTTCTCTTCTACACGGTGGTATTTGATGAAGTTAGGCACTTAAATTTTATATCAATGCGTAACATATGTTATCATCTTTGATGTTCCATGAAATCTATGATAATTCCAAGGCTTGCTCTAGAATTTTTCTAAATTTATAGATGACATGCTATAATATTTGAAATCAGAATTAAAAGATATTCGCTTACGACAAAAATGGCATATATGAGAAAAATCAAAGCTGAGACGGGGTATAAGAGACGAATAGTCGTATTAATTTTCTATATATGCCACATTTCAGAGGTCAAAAAGTGGCTATGTTAATGTGCAGTTTATTTTGAAATCCTATCTCAAATAAATTGAGAAAATATTAGAAACGATTTTATTAAAATTCGTTCTGTTTTCCGTGTATCTCCGGAGATGCTCCAAGCGACAAAACTTTTCAAATGTCTTTTCTAAAATAAATAGATACGCAACTTTGGCAACATCCAGCCGACCCGTATCTCTTACCGTTTAGGAGATCACAATGGTGAAAATATGAAAAACCTGTTTTTCAAATCATTCTAGAACAAACTAGGTATATATCCTTGTATATATACTATATATACTATTTTTGGCTATATGACGAAATTTCAAGTTATTGTATACAACGAATAAATATCGACAAAGATAAATTATTTTCGGAATTAGTAAAATATGCTGTATCCCAGGCTATATCAAAACTTCTCCTTTGAAGTGGCATATTAGCATATTCTAAAAGATGTACGGTGTTCCATTTAAAAGAATCGCTTCTGTTGTGAATTACCTTGTAGGGAGCGGTATATTCCAAGTATGTTTTAAAGTAAAACGAAAACTCAATGCTTCTTTATCACCAAACAATACACGCCGCCACCACAAAAAATTAACAGAAAAACCTGACCATTTTATCACTTGTTGATAAATCGATATGTAAAAAATTCTTGAGTTCTAATAAACATACATAGGTGTTAACCTTTTTTGTCACTCAGTGTATGTTATGTGCGTTTCAAATTCGAACGACACCTTTGCTATCTCGAAAACGGTAAAGCCAATGTACGAGTAACACGATCTGTATTTACTGTAGTCCGTACCATCAGTAGATTTCTACGTAACATTATGCATCAATAATTACTGTCGTGCAGGCTACACAGTCGATAAATATCACATCTCATGATGAATATTTTGAAGGATCACAGAAAATATGGATCCTTTGACATTCGCCTAAATGACACAGGGACAAAGTTGCACAGGTAAATAAAAAATGGAACTTGGACAGTTTGGATATCCAAAGTATTTCCGAATACTACTCTAATTCGTTTTTGATTTTTTCCTGGCTTTAGGCGGAAATAAATCTTTCCAAACATCCACATTGTCTACAAGTTTCAAAAAAATTGCACAATAACATTACCACTTTTTCTCTTCTACACGGTGGTATTTGATGAAGTTAGGCACTTAAATTTTATATCAATGCGTAACATATGTTATCATCTTTGATGTTCCATGAAATCTATGATAATTCCAAGGCTTGCTCTAGAATTTTTCTAAATTTATAGATGACATGCTATAATATTTGAAATCAGAATTAAAAGATATTCGCTTACGACAAAAATGGCATATATGAGAAAAATCAAAGCTGAGACGGGGTATAAGAGACGAATAGTCGTATTAATTTTCTATATATGCCACATTTCAGAGGTCAAAAAGTGGCTATGTTAATGTGCAGTTTATTTTGAAATCCTATCTCAAATAAATTGAGAAAATATTAGAAACGATTTTATTAAAATTCGTTCTGTTTTCCGTGTATCTCCGGAGATGCTCCAAGCGACAAAACTTTTCAAATGTCTTTTCTAAAATAAATAGATACGCAACTTTGGCAACATCCAGCCGACCCGTATCTCTTACCGTTTAGGAGATCACAATGGTGAAAATATGAAAAACCTGTTTTTCAAATCATTCTAGAACAAACTAGGTATATATCCTTGTATATATACTATATATACTATTTTTGGCTATATGACGAAATTTCAAGTTATTGTATACAACGAATAAATATCGACAAAGATAAATTATTTTCGGAATTAGTAAAATATGCTGTATCCCAGGCTATATCAAAACTTCTCCTTTGAAGTGGCATATTAGCATATTCTAAAAGATGTACGGTGTTCCATTTAAAAGAATCGCTTCTGTTGTGAATTACCTTGTAGGGAGCGGTATATTCCAAGTATGTTTTAAAGTAATGATGATATTGTCCAATTACATAGTAAAAACTCACCCCTTATGTCTAATTTGTTGCAGCAGTTACGTCGATGAATAGCTTGAATATTTTTGAAGATTTTTTTTAAGTTATTCACAATAAAGGCTTTTTTTAAGCATACCCATTACGAGTTGTGTAGGAAGGGCAACTAAGACCCATATTAAATCAAGAAA